CAGGTTGTACTGTTACTGTTTGTTACTCAACAGATGTGTGCTGTTTTTATTATATAGAAACACCACTAGCAATTAGAGGAGAACTCTAACAGAAGTACTTGTGAAACTCCAGGGAGGGAAGTCTGGGAGTCAGTGTTAGTTATTTGACCTCACTGAGTCTCCGTTTTCTCCTTCCATGAAATGAATAATAAGCCTGCTGTACTCCAGACATGTTTATACCCTACACAGCATGCAGGACTCTGAGAAGTGTTTGTAAGCCATTTTTTGGAGGGTGGGTAAGCTCTGTCCTTTGATGGGTCTGGATTTAGGGCAGGGCCTGCATGAATGTGAAGTCACAAGATGTCTCCCTGGCTCCTATACGGGGAGGTGGTAGTGAGGGAAAAGGGAGCAGAGTGGAGGTGTCAGCTAATGCATCAGTACCTGGCCATTATCCCATTTAAATCTCCATGGTTGGCTCGGCGCCTATAGCTCAGTGGCTAGAGCACCAGCCACATACACCGTAGCTGGTGCGTTCGAGTCCAGCCCAGGCCTGCCAGATATGACAACTACAGCCAAAAAGCCGGTGTTGTGGTGGGTACTTGCAGTCACTTAGGAGGCTGAGGCAAGAGAATCGCTTAAGCCCAAGAGTTGGAGGTTGCTGTGAGCTGTGATGCCATGGCACTTTACCAAGGGTGACATGGTGAAACTCTGTCTCAAAACAAAAATCTCCATGTCGGGCAGCACCTGTGGCTCAAAGGAGTAGGACCCTGGCCCCATATGCCGGAGGCCGCGGGCTCAAACCCAGCTTCAAACCTAGCCCTGGCCAAAAACTGCACCCCCCCCCCAAAAAAAAACACCAAAAACAAAACTTCATGTCTCCTGGAGGAGGGAGCAGAGTTACTGGGGGCTCACCTGGCTGATAAGTGGCAGAGGGAAAATTCATGTTTGGGTGAGGGTATGACCACTAAAGTCCAATATTTCTGGAGCCTCCTGCCTCTACTAGAAGGTGTTTGAAGCAACTTGACATCCCAGAAATAGTGTGTGCAACCCCCTAGGGCAGGTGTCCTCAAACTACAGCCCGCAGGCCACATGCAGTCTGCTGAGGACATTTATCTGGCCCTCGAGGTGTTTTTGCCACCGCTGCCTGTCCCGCTTAGCAGCTGACTCGTCCCGGGGCCCGCAGTCTGGCCCTCCAAACAGTCTGAGGGACAGTGAACTGCCCCCGTTTAAAACGTTTGAGGACCCCTGCCCTAGGGGATAACTTGTGGTCAGAAATCAGCAGCAGCTAAGGGATAGGACACCAGCTTTAAGTAGGACAGTTGCTGGCTTGACCTTGGGATGTCCCTCATACACACACATCACTGGATGTGAGGATTACAGAAGCTCATTGGATGTGCCTGGTGCCCAGCAGGTGCTTGCCTAATCCTCCTTTCCCAAACCCCATCCTACCCCAGCACCCTACACTGCAGGTTTCTAAGGCATAGGGTTACATATTCCCCTTTCCTCTTCCAGGTGTGGCAGGAGTGCTTGTGGGACACCCGTTTGACACTGTCAAGGTGAGTCTGTCCTCACTATTTTCTTCTCAACCCTTGGGAGAGATCATAGGGTTAGAGGTGGCTAGAGGCCCCTTTCAAGTTACAACATCAGGAAGACATTCAAAGTCTTTCCTTGGGTTTCAGAATAAAGGTAGAAGGAGAGTTCTAGCAGCTCAAGCAGGCAGCTGCCTTTTCACAGGACCAAACTGAACCTTCCTCCTGTATGTGTCCTTATATCTCCCAGCTAGGGGTGAATCATGTTTGGTTCATGGCCAACTCCATGCTTGGAATTGGCTGGCTGAGACCAGGGAGTTTAGGGCACATTTCCTCCCACGCAGAGCAAGGACACCCACACTGTTCTGATGCAGAACTTCCCCAGATGGCTTTTTTGACAAAAGAAGAGTTCAGAGAAAAAATACAGAAAAACAGAAAAATCCAAACTTGTCAATATTTCCCATTAACATGATCTTCAGAGAGGGGTGACTATCACTGTTAAGAAAACTGAGCAGTTGTTTCCCAAGTGCCGATGTGCACCTGTGAGGTTTCCATGGCCAGAGTCTTAAGGAAGGGCCCTGGAGGGTAGGCCACACCCTGGGACCTCAGGCCCTGGGCCAGGGACTCTGTCAGCCATGGTAAATTAGAGTTCCAGGTCTCAGATGCTACAGAATGCAAACCAAGGAAATCCATGTCCTCTGGTTGGAAATTCCCAAGTAAGTTCTTGCTTAGGGTTTTATGTTGTTAAACTAGCCAACTCAGGACCCTTCCATACTGTTTCCCTGAGCAGGCAAGAGGCCAGACCTGTACTTACTATAAACACTGAACTTGGCACCTTTTCCTGGTGGAGGGAGGACAAAGCCAAAGGCTGGATCTGAAGTAGACTTTCTGCCTCTTTTTTTCAGTGAGCCCAGGTGTTTGTTGGCAAAGAAAACTTGTTATTTGGGGTCTGGCAGGTGTAGGTCCCTCTGCCAACTGGTTTGACAGATGACCTTGGGCCAGTCACTGTATCTCTGGGCTCACATGTTCTCATCTGCAAAAAGAGGGGTTGGGAGAGGTTTTCATGATTCCTGATGGTGCCCAGTGTTCAACAGTATAATTTGTGTTGAGTGAAATGCTAGTTCTACATGCAGATTTGGGGAGGAGGCTGAAGGGCCAGGTTTTCTTGGCAGGCAGTGACCCCTGAGTTCCCTATGCAGGCCTGCGGAGAGTAATGCCCTGGCAGAGCCTGTCCATGTAGCCTGCCCTCTATGCCCACACTCTGTTCAGACAGGTCGCCCCTGACACCTACCCACAGGCTGGAGTAGCCCAGGACAGCCTGGCAATCTCCATGTTACACTGTGTTTTTATCTCTGGTCACGTGCTATGAATGCCTCTTGCAGCTGTCTCCAGCCAAGAAGTGCTCAGATTCCCTTCTTATGCCTGGCTTCTTGGAGGCCAGGTTTCTCTGAATTATGAACTGGCCAGGCCTAGCCAGACTTTCTGTAGGCTCCCTGTTGGACCCTCACGCAGTCCCGGTCAGGTGGAGAGCACTTTTTCCCTTTGTCCTGGTGCCTCCATGTCCATGTGAACTGCTGAGCATTTGACTAGAACCTTTACAGATATTCAGGTGCAGGAACCTCACCTCACCTCACTGGCTTTTGTCTCCCAGTCCCTACTTTGCTGGCATCTGGGGGGAGTAGTCTTTGAGAAGATCAGTTTGTGACTTTTTTTTTTTTTTTTTTGGCCGCTCTGGCCCACCATCATCACATCTGGGCAAACCTGCCTTTAAAGCCAAGCTGTTTGTTACGAAAGGGGAGAAAACTTGCCCCTGGTAATCAACTCTTTGCCCTTCCAGTTCCAGGTGCTGCTTGTCATGAGTGCCTTCCCTTCCACTGCCTTCCCATGCAGCAATATTACCGATGGCCTTGCAGCTCTTACTGGTTTCCATTACAGAAGTTAAACATTCTCATTAAAAGAAAATTGGGAAATGTAGGGAGGAGAAAAAGCCAATTTTTTCCTTCTCCTAAATAAATCCGTGTTTATAGTTTGCACATTGCCCTCAGAATCCTACCTTTCCTTACCTAGCTACTCCCCAGGCCATGTGATTTTTTTTTTTTTTAGACAGATACTCTGTTGCCCAGCTACACTGCTGTAGCAGGGTCAGCCTAGCTCACAGCAATAAGCCAGGCCCCTGGGTTCAAAGGATCCTACTGCCTCAGCCTCCTGATAAACTGAGACTACAGGCACCTGCCACCATGCCTGATTTGTTTTTCTGTATTTAGTAGAGATGAGGTCTTGCTCTTGCTCAGGCTGGTCTTGAACTCCTGAGCTCAAGCAATCCACCTGCCTCGGCCTTCCAGAGTGCTAGGATTACAGGCATGAGCCACCATGCCCAGCCTGCCCTGTAATTTTTTATTTTTATTTTTTTGGAGACAGAGTCTTACTATGTTGCCCTTGGTAGAGTGTGTGGTGTCACAGCTCACAGCAACCTCCAACTTTTGGGTTTAAGCAATTCTCTTGCTTCAGCCTCCCAAGTAGCTGGGACTATAGACACCCACCACAATGCCTGGCTATTGTTTTGTTGTTGTTGTTGTAGTTGTAATTGTTGTTTTAGCAGGTCCAAACCTGCCAACCCCAGTGTATGTGGCCGGTGCCCTAACCACTGAACTATGGGCACTGTGCTTGCCCTGTAATATTTTAAAAAGATGTTTTAATCATCAGGTATATTCACATTTTGGGGGTCTATTACAAAAATGATGTAGGTTGTAAAAAAAATTTTAGCCATAACAGAGATATATAAAGTAAAAGGAAAATATCCAGTTTTTCATAGGTCTTTTCCCCAACCCTTATAAATGACTTCTGCTGATAAACAGAAATGTGCACAGACCACCTATGTATATTTTTTGCTATTGGCGAAAGTGGGATTGATTTTCTTGTTTTGTTGTTTGCTTATTTTTTTTGAGACACAGTGTTGCCCTGTCACCCAAGCCTTGAGTGCAGTGAGTGGAGTCATCATAGCTCACTGCAGCCTCAAACTCCTGAGCTCAAGGAACCCTCCCACCTCAGTCTCCCAAGTGACTGCAGGCATGTGCCACAATGCCTGATTCTGCTATAGTTGTTTTTATTTTATTTTATTTATTTTATTTTTTTTAGAGACAAGAGTCTCATTTTGTTGCCCTCAGTAGAGTGATGTGGTGTCACAGCTCACAGCAACCTCCAGCTCTTGGGCTTAGGTGATTCTCTTGCTTCAGCTTCCTGGGCAGCTGGGACTACAGGCGCCTGCCATAATGCCTGGCTATTCTTTTGTTGTAGTTTGGCTAGGGCCAGGTTTGAACCTGCCACTCTTGGTATATGGGGCCGGCGCCCTACCCACTAAGCCACAGGCACCACCCCATAGTTGTTTTTTTTGTAGAGACAGAATTTCACTTTATTGCCCTTGGTAGAGTGCGGTGGCATCACAGCTTACAGCAACCTCCAACTCCTGGGCTTAGGTGATTCTCTTGCCTCAGCCTCCCAAGTAGATGGGACTACAGGTATAGTTGTTTTTAAATTTGTTTTTAGTTGACATTTAACACATGTAGAAAAGCACAGACAGACATCCTTGGTGTAAAGTCTGTACATCACCAGAAACACACCCTTGGGAGCCACCACCCAAGAGAAGCAGCACAAGGCCACCCCCCTAGAAGTCCCCCCCTAGCAGCTCTTCCCTCCCCTCTCTCAGGGCTTTTACTGTCCAACAGCCTGAACTTCTAACACCATGGGTCCCTTTTGCCTGGCTTAAACTTAATTGACCCTGGAATATATCAGGGGGCCACCTGAGTCTATGCCAGTCTATGCTATCCTGCTTAACTGGACACAACAGTCAGGGACAAGTTGCTTTCATTTAGAAGGGTGAGCTTTCATCTTGACCAGCCAAGAAGTGGTGGCCAGCCATCCCAGGGCAGGGGAGGGGCAGGGTTGGGGGGCTGGCCTCCGGGGCTCCGTGCCTGGATGTGATGTTGAAATTTTGTGTTGCTTTAACTGCCTTTACTTTCTGAGCTAGGGGCTGTCTCCATCAGTAGCAAAAGTGTAACTTTGTTGTAGATGAGCGTAAGCCTCACCCTGGAGAGCGCTAGTAAGTACAGACCAGGTGAACCTCTTCTCCATCCCTCCTTGCTGAACCAGACCCTGGGCCTGGACCCCACCTCACTACACACCTGCCCCCAACCCCAGTGTTCCCTTTGTGACTGGCAAGGGACAGGGAGGGCATGAGACGAGTATGGGCCCAGCATAGGTCTCAGGGTGGGGGCTTGAGGGGCTGGTCAAGAAAAATCAGACCCCTCTGAATCAGGGGTCTTCATATTGAGGGTATCCCAGCCCTGTGGGGAGCTGGGAGCCTCTTGGGCTTGTGTGCAGATGACCACTTCCCTGGGAGCCTCTATTTCCATCAATCTCCAATGAAGATCCTGTCACCCCCCCCAAATATTAGGAACCTCAGCTCTAGATACCGCAAAACTTGGGCCATTGGGCCACAGTTGACTCCCCAGACCTTGTTCCCCAAAGGTCAGAAACAAAGTGGGGAGAGGCCTCTGCCCATTTTGGTGGAAGAAGCAGAGTTGCCCTGAGTCAGTGGGGCCTGGGCATTCAATACTGTCTGTGACCTGCATAGACTTACAGATACTGCCCAAGTGGCACTGAAAATCTAAAAAGAAGGGACAGCTCTACCTCACGTTAGTTCTGCAAACACAGTGCTCTTAGTGCCAGTTTTGGGAATGCAGGAGGAACAGAAATGTCCTGCCAGAGACCCCAGAACATTGAAGGCAAAGTTTAAAAACCTCACATCACAAAAACTTAACCTGAGCCAGAGCTCATGATGTTAATATGTTGTTGAAGTTCAGCAAGCAGTTTTGCTTTTCTCTGAAGTCAGCCTACTCCCCAGCAAGAGGGGTTCTGTGGGTGAATCATTGCAGGGTGCACTGGCTGCCCACTGCAGTGGCTATCAGCTGCTGAGGTCCTTAGGAGCAGGGATGCTACTTACTTTTTTTGGTAACAAAACATTTTTTAAGTTCATTCACCAATGGAAGATCCATCTATTTTGGTGGAGAGAACTAGAAAAGGTTCCAGAATTCAGGCTGAAGTCGGCTACTCCCCTACGAGGACTTTCCCCTTCTAGCATTTCCACTCCACACTCAGCCTGACCAACCCAGCAGCACAGGTCCCTGGAGAAGCCAGCCTTGGCTACATTGTAAAACACTCTGAGCCTTAGTCTTCCCATCTTGGAAATGGAGGCAACACACCCATCCACTGTGACCTGTGATGCTGATCCCTAGAGATAATGACTGTGGAACCCTCCCCACTCCCTTGCTGCTGGGCACAGAGGGCACTCATTTGTCACCTTGGCTGTATTATGGTCTTCCCTGAGTCAGATCTGGGGAGCCAGCTCCTGAGGTGACCTGACCTACTTTACTGCCACCCCGTGACATGGATTCCACGTTTAGGAAATGTCCTTCCCAGTCTGCTCTGTGGAGGCTGCCTATCAGGAGCAGAGATAAGCTCTCAGGCAACAAAGAGCCCTTTGATACATAAGAGGTTCTGGGCTACTGGGCTCTGAGGCAGCTGAGCCTGACCAGTGTCCTGGCCCCAGAGCCACTGACATGGGCCCCTACTAGGCTGTCAGCTATTCTCTTGTTACTCTATTAAGTCGTAGCCATTGTTTTTCTAAAAGGCAACTGGCAGAAACCAGGGAAGAGCTCCATGGAGCCAAGGCTTATTGCTTTTAATACCTGTTGCCTCAATGCCAGCCCCTGACAAGGACAGTTATATGGTGGATATTAGGTCAGGAACTACTGTGGAATCGGCTGTGGTTTGAGACATAGTCATTCAGCAGGATGACAAGTGTCAATCCTGTATGATGGATTGGTCTCGGGAGGTAGTTCATGTCTACCGTCAGTACATGGTGCAGCCAAGAGGCTTAACCTTTACCTGTCTGAGACCTTGGGGACCCCCCGCCTTATCTCTAGCTGGCTGTCCTTGTAGCTGTCTGCCCACATAAACCCTTCCCTGAGGAGACAGTAACACCTGGCCATGCCCCACCCTGGAATTCCAAACCACTGAAAGCCTCATGCATCCTGCCTTGGGCCTCCTCAAGAGACCCTCAGGGCAATTCTGAGTGCCAACCAGGGGAGCTGGGTGCCCTGGCCCTGGCCTGCCCACTTTTCATGGAGCACTCTCCTTCCAGGTGCGGCTTCAGGTGCAGAGCATGGACAAGCCTCAGTACCGAGGCACTCTGCACTGCTTCCAGTCCATCATCAAGCAGGAGAGCGTAAGTGGCCTGGGTGCACTTGGTGTGGAGGGGTGGGGAACAGCCCACTCCAGGTCAGAGAGCTAGAAAAGAAGATATCAGGACATGGGTCCTGATAAAATTCTGCTTGGTCCTCATGAGCATCTGGAGTGGGCTATGACTGCTGCCACCTGCAATGAGGGCTTGGGATGTGGGTTGGGCACTTTGGTGGCCCTGACACACCTCTGTTCCCACAGGTGCTGGGCCTGTATAAGGGCCTGGGCTCGCCTCTCATGGGGCTCACCTTCATCAATGCACTCGTGTTCGGTGTGCAGGGCAACACCCTGCGGGCCCTGGGCCACGACTCCCCATTGAACCAGTTCCTGGCAGGTGCAGCTGCAGGTGCCATCCAGTGCGTCATCTGCTGTCCGATGGAACTGGCCAAGACGCGGCTGCAACTGCAGGATGCGGGCCCAGCGCGCGCCTACCGGGGCTCCCTGGACTGCCTGGTGCAGACCTACCAGCGCGAGGGCCTGCGTGGAGTCAACCGGGGCATGGTGGCCACGCTGCTGCGCGAAACGCCTAGCTTTGGCGTCTATTTCCTAGCCTATGATGTGCTGACGCGCTCGCTGGGCTGCGAGCCAGGTGACCGCCTGCTGGTACCCAAGCTGCTGCTGGCAGGTGGCACGGCGGGCATTGCATCCTGGCTCTCCACCTACCCTGTGGATGTGGTTAAGTCGCGGCTGCAGGCTGACGGGCTACGAGGCGCCCCGTGCTACCGCGGCATAGTTGACTGCATGCGCCAGAGCTACCAGGCAGAAGGCTGGCGCGTCTTTACGCGGGGGCTGGCGTCCACGCTACTGCGTGCCTTCCCGGTCAACGCTGCCACCTTTGCCACCGTCACCGTGGTGCTCACATATGCGCGGGGCGAAGAGGCCCGGCCTGAGGGCGAGGCTATGCCTGCCACTGCGGCTGCCCCTTCAGGGCCCACCCTGGCCCAGCCCTCTAGCCTGTGATCACCACCCTGCTTCCCCTGGGGGCCACTTTTCAGAAACTTGTCATAGGCTAATAGCTCAGCTCAAATGCAGTGGGCCTGGGTTGAATTTTGCTCATCAGCTGGGTGACCTTGACAACGAATTTCACTCCACTGGCCTCAGTGCCCTCTCATGTATGAAATGGGGACCCTGATGCCCCCATCATATAGTCTGGAAGGTCAGAGATGATGAATCTTACGCTGAGCCTAGCACCGTGCATGGCCCAGTCAGCACTATGCCTGGAAATGTTACTTGGGATACCTCTGCCAGCCCTGGCATCCTGGCTACCACCTCTGTGCGCCTGTCCTGCAAGCTGGCTCCCATGGGTCTGTGATGAGCCACCAGTGGCTGTCCAGGGGCCTGCTGACTCTTGTACCCTCCACCTGGCTGAGCTCCAGGGAGACTTCTTGGCCACCTCCCTGATCTCTGTTAGGGACAGAGGGCAGCTTGGAGTGCCTTCTGGTGTCACAGAACTGGTTGCTCTGCTGGTGCACCATAGCTTTTCCATGTGCACTACTACATGTGGTATGGCCAGCTGCTGGTCCTATTGGAGGGTAGACCAGGAAGCCATTGGGTCTGCTGGGGCCCCTGGGCTGGGAGGGGAGTGTGCACAGGCCAGTGGAGGGAGGTCTTTGCAGTTAAATTGTGATACAGCTGTGGCAAGGGGACATCCTTTCACCTTCTGGCCTCTGGCTGTCCATCTGGAAAATGGTCAGGACATGGGCTGCCTTATGGCTGCCTGGGTCTCTGGCCCATCCCTGCTAGTCAGAGATCCCAAGGTGCATGCAGAGGGTCCCACAGAGAGCAGCATGGGCTAGTCCTTCCCTGGGCTTGCACAGCACAGGCCACAAGCCAAAGGTCAGTTCTCCCATTCCCCAGTAAATGATGTCTCCTAAGCAGTCTCTTCAGTGCCTGGGGTCCCTGTGTGGGCACAGAGGGCCTGATTGTGGACACAGAGCTGACCATTTGGGGCAGAAGAGGGTTCCAGGCTCTGCATCCTGGGGAAGTGGGCCCATATCCCGAGAGGCAGGCTATGCCCAGTGTGGACAGGACTCAGCTCTGTGCAGCATGGTATTATTGTACAGAAACCACCAAGGGAATAAAGTATTTGTGTTTTTTTCTTAAGTGTTGAGGCTTCCTTTGTGTGTGTTGTGGAGGAAGGGGTTTCATCCCCCGCCCTTACCTTGGGGTTGAAAGGGCCAGGGTGGTGATCTGTGTGCCTTTGGATGCTAAGGGCAGCCCTGGCTGTGGAACCCAGGGCAGGTTTTGTATGCATTTGAGTGTCTCGGTTTCCCTATCTACAAGCTAAGCTAAGGAAGGCCTGAGAATGAAGATGTCGAGCTCATTCACATGCTGGGTATAGTCTCAGCCATTCAGCAAGTGCTGCCCATCCCAGCAATGGGAGGCTGGTCGTGAGGGGGCCAGGATGGGGCAGGGCCTGAAACTGCCTAGTGGAGGAGGGATGGTCTGAGTGGAGTGTCTGTGACAGCCACCCAGGCAGCCTATGCATAACTGGACCTAACCCAGCCTGAGAGGTCAGAGAGCGCTTCCTGGAGGTTTGGAGGGGCCCACACTGCCCATCTCACCAGCAATTTTGCTCTGCCTCCCCTCACTCCCATCTGGAGAGCTGATCATTAAACATGATCAACAATTCTGGGAGGCAGGGAGCAGAGGATTTTTTTTTTGTAGAGACAGTCTCACTTTATTGCCCTCAGTAGAGCGCTGTGGTGTCACACAGCTCACAGCAACCTCCAACTCCTGGGCTTAGGCGATTTTCTTGCCTCAGCCTCCTGCGTAGCTGGGACTATAGGCGCCCACTACAACGCCTAGCTTTTTTTTTAATTGCAGTTTGGCTGGGGCCAGGTTTGAACCTGCCACCCTTGGTATATAGGGCTGGCACCCTACCCACTGAACCACAGGCACCACCCAGAGCAGAGGATTTTAAAAATACATTTATTTTATATTTCATTTTCTCCCTAATTTATATGAATTTGGAATAATTAATATATGAAAGTGGTAAATACGTAAGTAGAACCTAGGCTGTGCAGTGAGGAGGAAAACCCCACCTGCTCCCAAGCCAGCTGACCAGCCCTGATACCTCCCAGGCAAGCCCTAGCACGAGAGGACTTCAATGCCCCCAGAAAACAGCCCAGGTACTGGCTGTTCTGTTCTTCACTTGACAATTATATTGGAGATTGTATTTGTTTCCTAGGATTGCTGTAACAAAATACCACAAATTATGTGGTTAAAACAATAGAAATTTATTTTCTCCAAGTCTTGTAGGACCAAATCCAGGTGTAGGTGGCATTCGTATGAGGACACCAGTCATATTGGGTTTAGGGCCCACCCTACTGCACTAGGACCTCATCCTAACTAAAAACATCTACAAAGATCCAGTTTTGAAGTAAGGTCAAATTCACAGTTACCTGGGCGCAGGATTTCCACATATCTTTTGGGGGAACACAATTCAACCCACACAGGGATCTTTCTTTATATTAGTGTGTTTGACTTGTCTAAGTTCTTGTTAATAGTTGTATAGCATTTCATTGGATGAATGTTACTTGATTTACTTTTCCAGTTAGGTTGGGAGATGATTGAGCAGAGTCAGCAGAAAAGCAGCAGGTAGTGGGACACAGGGAAGAGTGAGGTTGTAGCTGAGAGAGCAGGCCTGGAGGTAGGAGGAGTGGAAGGAGGGCAGCTGGCTCTCTGTAGGGGCCTAAAGGACAGCAAGGGACAGAGGTTGAAGGGGGCCATCAGGCCAGGCCATGTTGCAGCTCCTTCTAAGTGCCAACTTCACATCTACCCTGACCTTCTTTTAGATTAGAATCTTAATTTGTTCAGGGCTACAGTATGCACAAATAAAAATACTCACCTTCCCAGGCTTTCTTGCAGCTAGAGTCTAAATGTGTCTCGGATTTGGTCAGCAACATAAAAGCAAAAGTTAGGGGCCAGGGCTTCTGAGGAAGCTTGGTAAAACAGGTGAATGCACCTGTGGCACTCTTGACCTCTGATCCCTGACCTTGCTCTGAGAAGGGACAGAAAGCCTGGAGGTGTAGTGGGAGAAACTGTAGCTTTGGTGGGCCAGTGAGCCAACATGACCTATCAGGCTGGTCACTTTCTCCCCCCTTACTTAATGCACTATTCCTTGGCTTTTCTCATTTGCATCCAAATGCACCACAAGCTGCTATGCAACACTGGGAGTTTATTCTGTCCTCTCCAAAGGCCACTGGGAGGTTTTAGTCAAGGTAGTGAGAGTGTCTGATTCATGCTTTAAAAACTACACAGGAGGGGGTGGTGCCTGTGGCTCAGTGAGTAGGGTGTCAGCCCCATATACCAAGGGTGGTGAGTTCAAATCCAACCCTGGCAAAACTGCAACAACAACAACAACAACAACAACAAAAAAAAATAAATAAAGTTTAAAAAAAAAAAAACTACACAGGAGGTTAGGAGGCAGGCTGGGTTGGGGGACAAAGGCGCTATGGACGGCCTTGGGGTGTCTGAGCCAAAGGGCATCTTGAGGCCAGGAATGGAGGGCCCCAGTGGTAGGTGGGGAAGATCACTCTGGAGAATAAGCAGCAAAAGATGAAGCCGGTGGAGTTGTTGGGGTGTAGTAAAGGGAGGCGAAACCATGTGCCAGAAGCTAGTCTGAGAACTCTGTGGGGATCTGGCACCTTCTTTGAGCCTCTTTCTTTGGCCCTTAGAGGAAGGGACTTTGAAAGGGCACTGATGAGGTGGCTGTCTGGGATGGGTGGGGGGTAGGGCGAGGAGGTTTAAAGCCTGGAGGGGCAAGGAGCAGGATATAGCCCAGTGAGTTCTGGGTGGAGTGCAAGGCCTTGGCTCAGAATCCTGGCAAAGCAGTATCCCCTTCCTCCTGCAGCAGTTTGGAGAAACTTTGAGTCTAAATGTGAGAGACTATTTTTACCTATTTCTCCGGTGCCAAGGCTAGCCTGACCACGTCTGCTCTAACACCTACTTTGAGTCTCATACATACTGGCTTCCCTCCCCCAGGTGCACCAAGCAAATGAAGCATGAGCCTCCTTGGGCCACGCCCATCATCAGCCCGCCCCTTAGTGTGAGGGGTTTCTCATAAAATAAAATAAAAAGCATCTAAGTCACCTTTGTCCCCCTCAGTCCTCCCCACATGGTTCTTATGACTGTAGGGACAATGGCCCAGCCCTTTGCATACCAGCCATTTTATCCTTTCAACAGCCCTACAAGGTCAGTGCCAGTACCCCCAGGATGCCAGCAGGGGAAGAGCCCCTGTGCACTGTCACCTAGCCACTTGGTGCTGGGGCTGGAGCCCTCACTGCCTGTGCCTGGAACCCTCACTGCCTCTGTCATCCTTCCCCTGCAGAAGGATTTGCCTGGGCCACCTTCCTAGGCTCCAGGTAGCAAATGGACCAAGCTCTGTGGTTACAAGTGACAGATACCCCTGGAGCACCAGTTCAAACACCAGAGAGGGACCTAGAGAGAGGAGAGCACAGGGTCAGGACCCAGTCATCCCTGATGGCATGGCATCCAGCTGCCCACCAGAAGACAGACATAATGCTGGCTCCAGAGCCCACCTCCCATGGGACTGAGGGGCCTGGAGAGGCCAGTGTCTACCCTGGGCACCCCTGCTCAGCCTGGCTTCCTCCCTTATGGCTCGACCTATCCCAGGACCAGGAACACCAACCTTCTGGTACCCATCTCCCTGCACTCTGTTCCCCACTGGGACACTCTGGAATGGCACTGTACTCAAGCCCTCCCCAGCCATGCTCTGCTAGGCCTGCTGATATCACACAGGCTATGATGCTCATAAAGTTGGGGTAAACGATAAGTTCAAGAATTCTGGCTTCAGTGTCTCCATGGATGGTGAGGACATCTGCAGGATACAAGACAGGGAGCATGCATGGGGTAACATGGTGAGCTGCTCTTAATGTGGTGACAGTGAATGCCTCTCACTTATCTCCCCAACTTCCTTTATCTCCAAGAAGGCCAGAGGGTGTGAACTTAATCTACTTAATGTGCTGTCCTGGTGAGGAAGGCAAAGTGCCTACATGCCCACGATCCGCAGCACATCAGTCTGGCCCACTTCTCCAGACCTTTCCAATCTGGTCCCCTTTTCCTTGAGACCTTGAGCTACCTTCCTTGAGATACATGCTCCCCACCTACTCTGCTACCTATAGTGTACCTGGTCTGTGCTGTAGGCACTGAGGTTAAGGGATTTCTTGGCACTGCCTCCCCTGTATTGCCAGTCCACAGCCTCCCAGTGGCCAAGGTCTTCCCAGGCAGGCCCTAGCATGGCCACACCTTCAGGCCACTTAGCAGTTGTCTGGGAGGTCCTGGGGCTGTCCAGTGTGGACCAGAGCAGCCTAGGGGATGAACTGGGGAACTTCAATGTGGAAAGGAAGCACCTGAGGAGGGGTCTTTTTTTTTTTTTTTTTTGAGACAGAGCCTCAAGCTATCCCCCTGGGTAGAGT